AAATAAAGGAGAGTCATGTTAATTTATGTTTGTATTGAAGAAGTAGCCCTTTGTGTTTCAGTACCCCAAAAGTAGCTCTCAGTCTCAAAAAGTTTGGTGACCCCTGTCCTAGGCTGTGGGGGTCCAGCTGGTGGGGGGGCGGGGCCAGTGGCCCGTGGGAGAGGGYAAGTCAACTCAGACTGTGTGTCTAGTGTGTTATACGTTCTGAGAGTTGTCCGAATGTTGGGGTGGGTGTAGCATTTCTTCTGGGGTGGGGGCTGGGCATCATTGGGCAGTCCTGATTCTGGTTTCCCGTGTGGGTTACTGGAGCCTGGTGGGCCGGGCCAGCTGTTGCGGGGGTTGTGCTAAATAAATAATTTAAAGACATGCTAAAAATGTATTAATTTTGTTTTATTTYATGGGGACATTTATGTATTTGATGGAATATTAATACTTTATTTATTTAGAATGAAATTAATCTCCAAATATTTAATGTTCTCAGAACTCTACGCACAAATTCAAAATCACACATCACACACACAATGGGCAAATCCCCACATTTCTCCAAATCTTTCCTATTAAAAAACAATGTAAATAGTGCACATCCTAAACAACACAAAGTTGCACAAACAATGGTCTACATACAACATAACAAGAATTTACATATATATTCATAAATACATATAATTTATTCACACTATACACGTAAAACTGGAATGATTGTCAGGACCGATAAAATAACTCAGGGCACAGGCAGATGTCAAAAATCAAAAAAAGCACAAGGCCTTTAATGCAAAACTTAGGTAGGCTGAAAATACAGCAAAACTCACTTTGACTTGAAGAACATGGGACAGGACACGACCAGGTAGACAGAACAMTGATCCGACAATGAGACAGAGACAAGACTGAGCTTAAATACACAGAAAACTAACGAGGGAACAGAAAACACCTGGGGAGAAACACAAGGGTAATCAGCAGCGTGATGTGGGGCAGCTGAGCAGAGACACACAGGGGAACGAAGAAACACGACAAACCATGACAATTTTTGATTTATTCATTTATTCATTTCATTTAAAACAAAAAAGTTTACATTACAAAAAATACAAAACTTATATCACAAAATAAAATGAAAGGCAGCA